GTGTGTGGCCGCGTTCTATAACTATTATAAGCAAAAATCCGGAGGAGGGTATGTATCTAGTCTATGTCTCTGCAGCAGGCGAGCCGGTGAAAATGCCGTCGGAGATAGAGGGAGTAGTTGCCAAGTACCCTGATGTGTTTGAAGAGCCTACAGGGGTTGTTGAGAGAGAGGTCGTCCATGCGATAGAGATTATCCCAGGGTCTAGCATTCCGAAGGGTAGGATCTATCGGATGTCTCCAGGTGAGCTTGATGAGCTGCGCCGACAACTCAAGGAACTCGTAGAGAAGGGTTGGATCCGACCGAGTGTTTCTCCTTATGGATCTCCAGTCCTATTCGTACCGAAGAAGAAAGGAACACTGAGGATGTGCATTGACTATAGGGGCCTCAATGCCATCACTGTCAAGAACCGAGAGCCCCTACCGCGCATCGACGATTTGCTAGATAGAGTGCACGGGTGTCGGTACTTCAGTAAGATAGATCTGAAGTCCGAGTACCATCAGATTGCAATTCGGCCCGAGGATCAACACAAAACCACATTTCAGACCAGGTACGGTCTGTACGAGTTTGTGGTGATGCCTTTCGGCCTTTGCAATGTTCCTGGCACCTTTCAGCATGCTATGAATCAGATATTTCATGACTACTTGGATAAGTTTGTCATCGTGTACCTCGATGACATAATTATTTTTAGTAGGACTGTCGAGGAGCACGTTGCGCACTTGGACAAAGTCCTTAGCCTTTTTTGACAGCACAAGTTCAAGATCAACAGTGAGAAGTGCGAGTTCGGCCGCACCCGTGTCTTGTACTTGGGTAATGAGATCTCCGCGGAGAGATTGGAGCCCGATGACGTGAAGGTGGCATTCGTGACTGGCCGCGTCCTCAGTCTGTGACTAAGATGACGTCCTTCTTAGGGATGACAGACTACTACCGCAATTTGTTTAGAATTACAGCATAGTGGCCGCCCCTTTGATGGACCTGACTCGCCTTTACACCCCTCGGGAGTGGACAGACAGGTGTGAGGCTGTTTTCAGACAACTGAAGCATGCGTTGACACACCATGAGGTCTTGAAACTTCCTGATCCTGACAAACCTTTCGTAGTAACTACGGATGCTAGCCAATATGGCATAGGCGCCGTACTTGCGCAGCAGGAGGGGAAGAAGTGGAGGCCGGTTGAGTACATGTCCAAAAAGATGCCCTCTCAGAAGTTGGCTAAGTCCACCTATGAGAAGAAACTCTATGCGATCTACAAGGCGCTCACCCATTGGAGACACTATCTCCTTGGAAGGTTCTTCTACGTCAAGACTGATCACCAGACCCTGAAGTGGATGAGAACCCAGCCTGTGCTCTCCGACGTTCTGAAGCGTTGGATTGAAGTCATAGAGCAGTATGACTTCGAGCCCCAGTACATCAAGGGCGAGTATAACAAGGTTGCTGATGCGCTGTCGCATAGACCAGATTTCTCGGGTGCGCTGATCACTAAGTTTGGGCTTGCGGACGATGTTACTCACTCTATGGTGGAAGCCTATTGCGAGGACCGGTTTATGTTTGAGATCATACGCAGCCTCGAGGCGAAGGACAAAGCGACTTCTGCCGAGTTTGAGTTGGTCAACGGACAGTTGTTCCTTGAGAAGGCAGGGAATAAACGTATGTGTGTGCCAGATAGGGAGTCTTTACGTACTTTATTCTTAGGCGAGTGTCATGATGCCACATGACATTTTGGTTTCAAGAAGACTGCAGCCAATCTGATGCAGCGGTTCTGGTGGCCCACGATGATGAGAGATGCCGAGCTGTACGTGGAGAATTGTAAGGTCTGTCAAAGAGACACGCCCTGTACACAGGCCCCTCTTGGGCTCCTCAAGCCCCTTCCGATTCCGGAAAGGCCTGGTGAGAGCTTATCCATGGATGTCTTGGACACACTCATCACCAGCAAGAGTGGAATGCGATACATCTTTGTCATTGTGGATAGGCTTAGTAAGTATGCTAGATTAGTTGCAATGCCTGAAACTGCAAAGACTGAGTACGTCCTTAAGCTGTTCAAAGAAAACTGGGTCAGAGATTTCGGACTGCCTAAGTCTATCATTAGTGACCGGGATGTGGGATTCACTAGTGAACTGTGGAAAGTTGCAGCTGCAGAACAGGGCACACAGTTGCAAATGACGTCAGGCAATCACCCAGAAGCGAATGGGCAGGCAGCGCAATTGAACCGCGTTGTACAACACCTGTTGAGGCATTACATCAAGGCGAATCAGGTAGACTGGGACGAGAAGCTCGCTCTCCTCGCCAGCCTGTACAACAACGTTGTGCACAGCGCTACGGGAGTAAGCCCGAACAGCCTGTTACTGACTTTCAAGCCTAGACTGCCCTTGGACTTCCTACTACCTGAGAATCAGTCAGCTGCTGCACCAGGTACCTTGGAGTTTGCTTATCAATATGAGCAACTGATGCAACAGGCAGTAGAACAGATGCGCAAAGCACAAGCGGCGATGATCGAGTCTGAGAACAAACACCGCCTCCCATCTACATTCCAGGTAGGAGAAAGAGTCTGGGTTAAGTCCTCAGAGCTGGGACAGGAGTACGGGATTTCCCGTAAACTCATGCCACAATACTTTGGACCCTGGGAGATTCTAGATGTTGTGGGGAATGAACCAGATGGACCATCTTATGTTATTCGTATCCCTGGTCACTTACGCACTTACCCTGTTTTCCACGCCTCAAAGCTTGCACCTTCCAGAGAAACAGATCAGTTTCCCTCTCGTCTTTCAATGCTGCCCCCAACCATGGATGGAGGGGTCGACATCGACGACATTGTTGATCACAGGGAGATGCCAGTTCCAAGACCAACCGACAGAGGACGTCCTCCGAAACCGAAGCTGCAGTATCGAGTTCGGTTCAGACATCACACTGATCCAAAGGAGGATAGGTGGTTCACAAGAGAGGAACTGATGCAGACCGCTCCACAGGTAGTCGCTCACTATGAGAAGTCTCTGCAGAAGGGAAAGCGCCAGATTATCGAAGACTGAACTTCTCAGAGGACTAGAGAAGTATGGAGCAGGGAATGCGAGGCACAAGGCCTCGATAAGCCCTACTGGGCCCCTATTTTTAACAAGCGTCGGCCGCCCTAAGTGAAGGCAGGCTCGACAGACCCCAAGAGGCCTATTTTGGACTACTATGCAACTGGGGAAATTCAGGCAGTTGCGCAGTGCCAGTCGGTTGGAAGTGCCCAGGCCCGGGCTACCTTGCATTGCATGTAACTGAGGCAGGCCCTGGGCCAGATACACAAAGTGGACCGAACAAAGGCTGAGGGCAGTTGGGTGCTGGTAACCACCACAGGCCCTGGGCCTGTTGACTTCGGACTGAGGCTCAGCCTCCCTGGGCCTACCGGAAGCTTCTGGACCCGGGCCCAGTACCGCAGCACAGCACGCAGCCGCAGGCCGATATAGGGAAGGGCCTGCCTACGCATTGGACATTTGGGCACTGGCTGCTTTGTGCGCAAGCACTGCTGCGCTATCGCCTGCCAGGCTCACGCGCTCACGGGCGAGCTGGAAGGAGCAGGCAGCCATAGCCGAGCTGCGCTGTTGTATGCTGGATGGGGCGCATGGTGGTCCTTGGGTGCAAGTGGCATCTGTGAGTTGGGGAACGAGGTTGTGAGTGATACGAGAGACATACTTGGTGCTTGAAGTTTGCGACATTGGCCGAGATCTGCTCGTACTTCAGGGAGCTGTTGACGTCATCAGCGGCATTGTAGAGTAGGCTAGATAGGATCTGCCATCTGTAGTCTGGGCGCCGAGCGCCAGATAGGATATCAACATTGGTTCTTCGTTGATGATGATGATGAGACTATTCCAGCATTGTCAATTATGAGCTTTTGGTGTACTCTTATTTGGTGAAACTCGTGATGCAATTCTGCTTTTGGTTCGAGGTCACAACTATCTGGTCTCATGTGTATGATACTGTTTGATTGCTGAAGTTCGCTATTGCTCATCTTCCTTGCACAGGTTGTGGTGTAGCGGTTATTATCTGCGTGTCTGTTTGTTTGAAGTGTGAGTTTCATGATTTCCATAAAACTCAACCCTGGACACGGAGCTTTTAATGTTGGGCTTTGAACTCTGAGGTTTGGACTTGGGTGTTTAAGCTTAAATCACAAGTACACCGCCCAGGCAAAAGAAATTCATTGAAAACGACTCATTCCGAAAAGATTGGGGGTCGGGGCAGGGTCGGCACACACAAAAAAAAAGAAGAAGAAACTGCAGCACAAAAAAAAAAAAAAAA